CCCCCCAAAAACTACAACCATGCATTTTAACATCTGATTTCATTGTTCTGCACCTTTATTCAACAGAAAAACAAAAATCTCAAGCAATACAAAAATACAGTAGAAAAAAACTAAAAATGAGGTATAAAACAAATTTACAAATCATTTACTTTGGGTTACATTAAGGTGAGATACTGGGGTTGGCGTGGGCGTAAATTTGCTCTGATTGCTGATCTGGCTGTCGGAAGCCATCTTTCCTCCCTGCTGAGTGTCCTTCTTCCAGAGGGACACCAGAGGGCCTGGACCTGCCCTATGTCCATGAATCGCCTCAGAACTTTAGCACCAAAGCACACTGCGGGTGCAGGCTGTCGTTAGTGGCTCCCTGTGACACACACACACACAAAGATAAAAGCTCATCACTTTGAATCATCATCCCATAGTGGAAGTACTTTAAGGATAAGTTAAAATGAGAGGTTAAAGGTTTCCTTTTCTGTGTGAATCCAAATGTGACAGGATGAAAACTTGGGCGCTGCAGTGCTCTAATGACAGAACAAACAGTCGTGCACTTTGTAACTGGAAGCGACTGAGAATTATCTCTGTAAAGAATGTGTGTATATTTATGTATTGCACAATAAGAGCTTTTAAGCTTCTTGCAATCTCCTCCCAAAACTTCAGGATCTGTGTTTTAGACCTGTCATCATGGCAACAATTACACCACACATCGTCATCTTTAAAGCTAGCGACTATAATCTAGTCTGACTGTTGAAGGATGTGACTTTTACAGCAACACACACCAGTGATAGTGTTCCTTCCGACTGTTTTCAAAGGCAGATGCATTGTGACGAGATTATGTACTCTGCAGATGTGTGTAGCTTTAATGGTGACATTTGCCAAAGTGCTACTTTAGGGATTATCCTGTGTACTTTGTACTTTAACGTGAGGCTTTGAAAGGACTTGAAGCCATCTGCAGACAACAACACATCAAACATGACACGTGCAAAAAAAACCAGGTAGAGGGTCGCACACAGCTGTGTAATCTTTGTTCTTTGGTCTCTCACACACGCAGGTCACAAGTAGAGGGTCACAGACAGCTGTGAAATCTTTGTTCCTGTCTATTTCATGGGTGTATGTGAAGTCACCCCTCAGACACATATATCTGCAGAGTGGTGGGTGTTAGCCAGCTGTGTGATGAGTGCAGAGTGATCAAACACGAGCTGTGATTACTTCCAACAACAAAGACTGCCCAAAGAAACCAGTTTGATTAACCTTTATCAGTAACATGGATTTCTGAAAAAATTAAAACGTACAGCTCTGCTATCACTTCCAACATAAATGATGGCAGGAAACTAAACAGTAGTGACGTTTGTAGGGTCACAGAAGTTGGACTAGCTGGTATATAATAAAGTGCTGTGTGGTGGCTAGCTAAACAGCTATGGTTAGCATAACATAGCAAACACAGTGAAGCTGGAGGATGAACGCTAACTTTTTTCCACTCGATAAAAGTTAACATGAGGGTTCCTGATGGTTAGGGACAAATGCAATCGCATGGCAGGATGCTGTAAATGGACCAAACTTCAGTCAGGAGAACAACTGAGATAATCCATCCACAATATGAGGTTAGTCTTTAATATACTGCTGCATGGGCTGGGCTGTAGTTACATCGTAAGGTTTTAAAAACTGAGCACAGTAGCTGCATGTCCTGGTTAGAGAGAACAATAATGGGTGATAACCATTCTTAAGGATAGCAACAGATGGCAGAAAGATACCCTACTCAGAAATGTTTCTGATGAACTGAGAGAAATGTAAATCTCACACACGTAACACCATTCATTTCAGAGGAACTGTAATCAGTGGATATGCAGCCTGCACAACATGTTGCTGAAGGCATCTAGTTTCATTTCAGTCATACTGTCAAATGTCATATGTTTTTCAAAGGATCTGTGAGATTATAGGAAAGTGCAGTGCAGGAAAAGCAAAGTTGGTACACAAACCAATGAGTTCACTGTCTTCAACTCCTTTAAGTTCGAGTGTGTGCATAATACAGTTAGTTTTCCTTCAGTTTAGCCCATTGACAGACTGGCAGCCTATCCAGGGTATATCCTGCGTTTCACCCAATGACAGCTGGGATAGGCTCCAGCTCTGCCCCCTGCCATAACTCTTAACTGGACAAGTGGTTAAGAAAATGGATGGATGGATGGATGTTCCTTCAAACTTGAAAGACTGACTCTGATTACACAATATATCTCACCTGGTAGGCAGTGGGTCGTTGCTACGGTGATGCCATACAAATGAGAGCGCTGCTCAGGCAAGTACTCATCAGTGAACAGACTTCTGTGTTTGTTCACTGCAATCACGCCATCCCTGTGAGTAACAGGTTTGAGAGGAATGATATCAGCGATATACACATATCAACTTATTGAACTGCAACCACCACTGTGATCTGAGTAGAGGGAGATGAATGAAGACTACCTCCGCCAGTCAGTGTAATAGAAGTGGTTCCTGTAGTAGACCATGCTGAATGGGTAGTTGAGGTTGGCGTGGATTACTCTTCGACCTGAACCATCTGAGGATATACACTCTAGACGCTTTGTACCTGACAGACACAGGAAGACAGCATGGCTCATTACAACATCAAGAAAATATAGGTTAGGTAAATTCTAGAGTATTAACTATCTCAATAAGCAAGATATGACAGTATATAGTCTGAGAGGCAGCTGTACACTGTTTACAGATGTCTTAAAACCCTGGGACAATAAATAAAGGACCAATTGACATGAATGCAGCATCAGCATAGAGGCCATGTTTACCTGCATCAGCCCAGCAGATCTGTTCAGAAGCAGAGTCATATGTTAGAGCATTTGGCAAACCAATCCCATCGGACACTATCACCTGGCGATTTTGACCATCCACTGATGAGCTCTCGATCTTAGGGGCCTCTCTGTTCCAGTCTGTCCAATACAGAGTACTGCAGGGAGACACAGGTGGGGAAAACTTATTACTCTTACTCTGATTGTTCCTTTACTCTTTTCTCCATAAAGACAACATTTGATAACCTCCCCCGAAACCATGATGGCGATTTTTTTTACACCTCAGAATATATAATATATCAATAAAGACATGATTTGACGGCTGTTAGAATAGTGTCCAGGTTTTTCCAACAGGTAGCTGCATATGCAGAAACCACCCTCAATAATTTCTGATGCAAACCCAGTCATTTCATTCTTAAGTAGGCCTGGAATATGACAGAAACTACTCTGTTGGGAAAAGAAATTCAAGCATTTCTTCTAGTGAGCTTTCAGGGACTAAAAGAGTTAAAAGGGACCTACTTGTGGGAGTCAAGCAAAGCTACTCTAGAGTCCAACATTAAAAATATGGAGCTGGACATGAGCAGAATGAACCCCTTTCCACCCCCTTCCATCTGGATTGTTGACTACAGTCATTTTGCATTGATTTGTTTCAGTGCCGGGCACTTATATGAGTGGTAAATCACACACACACGACTAAAGGGACCAGTGGTCTCCTGATAATGAGGTCAAGGTCAGGCTTATCTTTTTAGTTTTTAGTTATGCTTTATCTCTTTATAGAGAACGTGGACCACACTGCCTCACACATGCAGGCATATTTATCAGTGTTTTCATATTTTCTGTTTAATGAAGATTTAAATAATATTTTAAACTGTGCACTGTGTGTGAGCTGCTTACGTGCTGGCAGTCCTCTGGGAACTACAGGTAATACACACCACATGAACATTCAGCTTATACACACACACACTTATGAATTTGGTGAAGGTGCAGGGCAGCAGATGTCTGACACGTTCACACATGTGTATATGCTTTTATAAAGCCTTTGCGTGTCATTTTTTTGTGTCTGCTTCCCTGAGTGTCGTGGTTAGGGATGAGAATATTCAGAGACCCTCCCCAATTCGGTCTATTCGCCTGATATTGGTTAGGGTTAACTGCACGTGTTCACTTTACAGCCTAAGAAACCACAGAGGACATGCTTAATCATAAGTGCATAAGTGTGCCCGTATGGAACAGTAATTGCTTTTCAAACCTGAGTTTTTGTCAGAACACACACACCTCATATATTTACCCCTAAGTCAGAAACTAAGCTGTAAAATCAATAATGTCAAGCAAACATTTCAGGTTTTATGACCAGGGTTATTGCTGCTGTGTTTAATCATTTGTAACAACCACATTAACTAACACACACACACACAAACATGCACGCGCATAACTGTTGATTATGTGATTAGTTGCTGTGATGAAGAGCAGATGTTATTCTTGGCGAGTTGGCCAATCAAGGCCTCTTGCTTTCATCCTATGAGCGTGTGTGTCCAGGATTAAAGGCATCAGTAAATTCAGGACAGTCTTCTTGGCTCAGTTTGCTGTGACACACACAGAGACAGCACTAAAAGTCACTTGTGATAGAATTAGCAAACATGTGTTACTAAAGACAGACTCCACCTGAAAATCCCAATTCCCATATTTTTTCTGAGTGCCAGTCTCATAATGATGAAGTCATGTTTTGGTCACAGTCTAAATCTTAGAATCCAGACTCAACAACCCCCCTTACTGCCAAATAGCTTTAAAAACAGAGTTTGCACTGTACTAATGAATTAGGTACAGGCCTCATTGAGTCATAGCCTGTTAAAGAACTAGTGTTTAATTTTCATTCTCGTAGTAACAGACTGAAAACCATCTGTGCCCTCTTCTTCCATAAAATCTCTGTGGATACAGTGAAGGCTATCTCAGCAGAGCACCTCCAGGTTGTTGCAAGACAGTGTGTGGGCTCTTGTTTGTTTCTTGTTCCGTGTCTGCAAATCCAGATTATGTTAACATACTTTTCTTCATTTCTAAGTAGAGCTTTTATGCCTTTCTGTATTTTTTTCCATATACATATGTTGTGATGTTGTTGAGACTTCAGACTGCTCTAAACACTCAGCCAAGGCTATCCTTATTTGTATGGGAGAACTGAGTGGTAACCCTGCAAACATTTCAATGTTCAGTACATTTTATCCTATCTAGTCTGAAAAATACTTTCAAAATGAAAGCTGTGCAGACACTGAGATGTAAGTTTGCCTTCTTGAACATCACCTGCATGCCTCCGTTTGACTGTTCAACAATGGTATTCTGTGTTCAAGGCAGACTTCATATTATCCCTTCTTACAATTCTTCAAACTATGACAAAATAATTTAAGCAAAATATTCTTGATAGTGACATCAAAAAACCCTAACCTTTTTTGTCATAATACTGCAGCCAGTTTCAACCCGACAGATTAGATTGCATATGCATATCTCTTACCCAAGCTATGGCTAGCAGTCTGTATCCATGAACATATGGTCGATGTTTTGTTTTTTTAATATATATCTTAAGAACAACTGGCTGCTTTGATTAGCAGGTCTGCTGACAGCAGATGTAGCTATTAACTGTTTGCTAGGTCTCTTCTCTACTAATGGAATTATCTAACAACTTGCTATGTGGCACAGACTATCAAGAACTCTGTTAGCATTAGCTGACAACTCAACATTCAGTCATCTCATCCACATGTGATTACGTCAGGGTCTAAAAAAACAACATAAGTGTAGCCAAATTGCTAATGTTGAAGCTTTCGTATGGGGAATCCAGAACCCCACAGAAGACGTCACTGTGACTCCATTGCTGTGTCCCAATTCAGGGTCTGCACGCTTGAAGTACGCATTTTAAGTGCGATTACGTCACCGCCACGCGACGACGGCTGTCCCAATCAGTGTTGCCAACTCCTCAGTAAGGAAAATCGCTATTGGTTGTCCTAAAAGTCGCTAGAAGTCGCTAAATGACGTCATCACCTAATTTGCATAATTGGTCATGCTAATGTAATTGTAACCTATGCTGCTGGAGAGAGAAATAACATCGTGGACGAGACATAAAGTGAGCAAAAAACGTCCTAAATGCATTTAGAATTTATTTAGAACTACAAATTAAATTTCTTTTAGCAATTATTGTTTTTTGTAATGTCTTTCACGTCTTTTTTTAGCGACTTGTTTTAGAAAAAAAGTCGCTAGGGGGTCTGAAAACTCGCTAAATATAGCGACAAAGTCGCTAAGTTGGCAACACTGGTCCCAATTCGAAGTGTACTTCAAATGCATACTCCAGATGCGCCGTCGATTTCCCCAAATATCAAGCGTGGTCCGGTGCACGCTTCGTGGTCCCATATATCCCACAATTCATAGCGTGGCGGTGGGTGTGGATAATTTTGCCGCAATATACGGCAGAAGGGAGTGGCCAAGAGTGAACTGTCAAAAGTAAGTACTGGATATGACGTCACTTAATTATGTGCGAATGTTTAATAACGAAGAACATTAAAACATTGCTGTTGGCCACATGTTGGCAAAGTTGTGTGACATTAGTGATGTTTGTACTTACAGCGTTAACTTGGTTTTAAAGCCTCTATATATATATATATATATACAGAAATGAAGCCCAACAATCATGTTTTACAGTCCCGTGGCCTCAGCCTCAGATACTCAACTAATCAAAGTGATGTCATGACAAAACATTTTTCTCTTTCATTTCTGTCAAACAATGCTGTATGTAACGTTTCTCACGGTTAGTATCATGGTTGCTAAGCAACCTGAACAGTGCGACGAAGCATTTACCGTCCCATTTCACAAGCCTCTCACTTCCGCACTTCTTGTACTTATAGTACGTGCCGTATGTAGTACGCATAGTGCGCGTACTTCAAGCGTGCAGACCCTGAAATGGGACACAGCCAACCTGTTCAAATCTGCTCTTTGTGAGAGGCAGTGGGCTTAAGGGAAGGAGAGCAAGAGTTAGAGGAAGAGACGGGTTGCTTCAGACAGTGCATCACATTGACGTCAACAGCAAGAAGGACAGTTTTTTTTTCAAATAACACTACGGATCTGGAAATTGGCATTTTGAAATTAGTGAAAGCAAAGAAAGATGAACAAATGGTTTTACCCGGTGGAAGAAACCACTATGATTGCACGGGGGTTGACCAAGTCTGTGTCAAACAGGGTCCTCCTCCCACTGCCGTCCAAGTTGGCTCGTTCAATCACATCAGGAGTAGAGTCAACCCAGAACATCAGCCGGCGTTTAACATCCACTGCCAAACCTTCTGGACTGACGAGATCTGCAGAAGCGAGAATAACGGAGATCCGGACATCATAGAGGAGATATTGAAATCATTTAAGGCATTCCACAACAATCATTACAGGAACAAGCACCACACAACTGTGAAAGCTTACTTGTGTTAATGAGAACCTCAGGCTCAGCACCAGACACCATTGAAGCTCTGTTGATTGATCTCGCAGACAAATCTGTCCAATAGACTTGGTTTTCCTTGCAGTCATAGGCTATACCAACAACTATGGAACCCTGGAGACACACACATAAATACAAGCTTCACCAGTGTTGACATACATCAGTTCACACAAGTGTACCTCGAAGATGAGAACTCACCTCCAACATTTTGGTCATGGTGTGAACCAACAACAAAACTCAAAGTTAGTTATAGATACTATGAACTATGTGCTTTTCTTCTATTGTGGTCTCTCTTTCCCATCACCAAATTGGTCGAGACAGCTGCCTCTCCCTAAGCCTGATCCTGCCAGAGGTCTCTTCCTGTTAAAAAAGGAAGTTCTTCCTCCCCGCTGTCACCAAGTGCTTGCTTATTGGGGACTGCCTATTCACTGGGGTTCTTTCTCTAATATTTTAGGTCGTTTTTCCTAAAGTATAAAGTGCCCTGAGATGACTAAAAATAACTAAACAAAATAACTAAAACACCATACTTATATATCTGACAGATTTAAAACTTCCTACCCAAATATGTAATACTTTATATTTATATACATAATATTTATTATACTAGTCAGATATTTTCTATAATCGAGGTGCAGGGTATTCACAATGACATACAATTTGAAATACACGATGTGAAGTCAGTTTTTACTTATAATTCTGAGACATAATTCTGCTTAAGACATAATGCTGACAGTTTTTTTCTTTCTTTCTTTTAAGTAGCAAACAAATTTACTACAAAAATTAACAAAGATTAAAAAAAATCATTTTATAGAGTATGTGATCTACTCATTAATTTCTTACATGTAGAGCCAATAGTGTTTTGGATCGTCTTTCGTCTAGTCTGGTCCCGTTGAGAGGCAGCGCTCCTATTTTCTGGCCCTGAGCGTACAGCAGTGTGATGCCAGTGTTTGTGGGAGGGGTGACATCTGGACGGGATGTTGGACGCACCGTAGGCGGTGGCACTGACGAGATGCCTGGGATGTGATTGGTTTGATAAAAATGTTTGAGTCATAATTAGTGAAAGACAAAACTTATATAATACAGAACAATGACATGTATCTTTGACAATTATTGCTTACATGCAGGTTTGACAGCATCATCTGATTTGGTTCCGGGAACCATGTGTCCACTCTGGTCCACACACCAACAGTAGTTGGTCTCCCCGTAACACTGGACTGGACTGGGATGGTGCAGGCAAACGGAAAAATCAGAAGATTTTTAAACAGCAATGCAATTATTTTTTTCTTGAGAACTTCCTTTGATGACTGCATATCTGCTGCTTACCTGAACTCTCCATCTGGCTCACACTGAGGTACATACTGCTGTGGACCAGGTTTTCCACCATAGTGCTCAATCAAACTGGCTCTCCATCGCTCACACATGCTCTCAGGGCGTTCTGTTGGAGTCACTGCAACTAAGGGGAAGCCAAAAACCCCAAAACAACCCATCAGTACTTCCATTCATAAAGCTAAAGATAAATTACAAGTCAGATGATATTCTTCGGTAGTTCATCATTATTTGATCAATTATACTTTCAGGATGTTCCCTACTTTGCTGAGTTTATACTACAGTGTTAGTTGGAGGCTAATGGTGAGGGGATGCCTCGTGTTTAAAGAGGCACACATATACACACATCGTACTTTTGTCAGCATTTCTGGCTTCTACTTGTGTTTATGCTAGCCTCGCTCTCTCTGTGTCAATTTTGAATGTGAGACTTTGCTGTTTGTAGACTGAGAAGGAGAGGAGGACACAATTTGAAAGGGAACAGTTCTCTATTGTGAGATAAAGACAAACCAAACAATTAAATGCAGTTAGCTTTTCCAGAAGTGTTTATTATAGTGGCAGTTAGCATGTTGCAATTTAGTCTTCTGGATCAATTGGTTTTGCTTCTATTTAATGTTCAGACTACCCACTAAATATGGTGGTTTGGAAAAGAGCAACAACTGGATGATCCATCAGTTCCATCTGCAGACTGGCAAACTAGGATGGCAATGAGTTATGTGGAAGCAGATAAAAACAGATAGAAAAAAAGTTTACAATTGAATTTGAACAAAATAAATTTGTCAGTATGACTAAATCAGACAAATTGCCTGTGTGGGCCAAATATCTTCAGATCCTAAACCAAATGTGAGTGAGAAATGTTGTCATTATGAAATAATAAACCTCGTTTGCAGTTCATAGACTATATATTAAAGATGTACTTGTTTGGCAGCTACAACTTAGGCATTTTGTCTGTTGTATTCTTGGTGATTTAAAACTGGTTGTGAGAGGTGAGGGGGCTGGGGGTGAAGAAGTCTCACCTGGTCTGTCACAGTCTACAGGTGCTGCACCAGGTGGAGTCCTGGTTCCTGCTCTTTCCTCTCCTCTACTGTCCACACACCAACAATAGCCAGTGGAGCCATGGCACTGAAATAAAGATGAGAAATACATTCCATTTTGGGGAATTCCTTGACCTTTATTTGATAAACAGTGAAGAGTTTTCAGACATGAAAGAAGGGAGGAAGAGTGGTGGAAACCACGCAGCAAAGCTCCGTGAGTGAGAGTCGAACATAGACTGCTGTGTTGAGCTTTTCAGCATAAAGTTGCCTGCTCAACCACGTGAGCTAAACTAACACCAATAAAAACAGTCTTAAGATAAACAAAAAGAAATCACTGATAAAAGCCAAAGAAGAAACTGTAGTTATTCACTAAATAAATATAAAGTCAGAGTTTCACCTGCTGAGGTAGATAATGTCCTTCTGCATCACACTGTGGTTTGTAGACTCCAGTTATGGGCTGTCCATCAGCACTGGTGGTCTTTACACTGTCTCTGTGGTGCTCACAGTGAGTTTTAGCACGCTCTGGTTGAACTGAATGAGAAAAAAGAAAAAAGGAAATTGATGCCTTGTTGTGCCAACAGGAAATAAACCTGAATAAAAACAATCTGAATGAAGTACGGGCCACTGGAATACCAACAGCACCCAGAGAGAACAACTGCTCCTGAAGGAAAAGGGCTCCACTAAAACTTTAATATTTGTGGATGCTATTATTACTGCGTGTCACCCCTCCCAGGGTATGGGCCTCCAAAGGTACTGTAGATCTCAGAGATTTCTGTCCTGGGCCATTATTTCTAGTTGGGTCCAGATCTTTTTTGCTTCTGCCTCGAGGTCCTGTCGTCAGGTGTTTCTTGGGCGGCCTCTCTTTCACTTGCCTTGGGGATTCCACCTGAGAGCCTGCCTGGTGATGTTGGTTGGTATTTTGCGTAAAGCGTGCCCTACCAAGTACTAGGGCTGGGCCATATTATACCGTTCATGGTAATACCGGTATAATGTTAGGCAACGATAAGAATATAAAATATCGCGATAGAATATGGGTAAAACACGCATGTGCAGTGCCTTTGTTTTCATACGCACATGGCCGAAAAAGCATGGCGGCAACAGAAAATGAGAAGGGGGAAAACAGATCGTTGAGTGAAACGGATGAACCAGAATTGGTTTGTAAAAATGGTGCACCTTCAGTGATGTGGAACTGGTTTGGTGTTTGTCTGTAAGATACCCACCAAAGCACATTTTTTTTGTAGAACATGCAAAGCGGGCCGTCGTTATTGCCGTATTTATCGGACTAAGGTGCTCGTAAATCTGGGAGTAATCTGGGTCCAAAACTCCCTCCGCTTCTGGTCCCAAAGTCAAACAAACACTGCGGCACATTAAGAGTTAAAAACTGTCTAAATTATTTCACCTTTAATAAAATGATCAGCATTGCTGCTTTACCAGGTGTAACAATTAAGTTTAACATCCAGGCATCTATGAAAACAGAATTTATTACATTTAACGGAGTTAGAAGTTAGAAGGAAGTTTGAGGAAGTTTGGTAACTAGCGAAACTAGCAAGCTAAGCATGATATAGCATGTTCTGACTGGGAGATTTTTGAAAAAATTAAAACGTACAGCTCTGCTATTACTTCCAACATAAATGAAGACAGGAAACTAAACAGCAGTGATGTTTGTAGGGTTACTGAAGTTGGGCTAGCTGGTATATAATGATGTGCTACGTGATCGCTAGCAACACAGCTATGTTAGCATAACATAAACAGTGAAGCTGGAGGATGAATGCTAACACTTTTCCATTCGATAAAAGTTAACGTGAAGGTTCCCGATGGTTAGAGACAAATGCAATCGCATGGCAGGATGCTGTAAATGGACCAAACGTCAGTCAGGAGAACAACTGAGATAATCCATCCACAATACGAAGTTAGTCATTAATATACTGCAACAACATGGGAATAGAGCAGCTGTGATAGAAAAAGCATTAATGAATCAATGGTACAGAAGTGGAGGAAGCAAGAAGAATGAGTTGAATAAAGTTTGATTTATTTGACCGCTTTGTTTTGCTTAATGTGCCTTATAAACCCATGCACCTTATGGTCTGAAGAATACGTATTTGACTTTTTTATTTGGCACACTGCAGTTTAATGTTGCAAAGCATCTCTTTTTAAACCATTGTGGTGTCCTCGGGATTCCCATATGCTTGTTTGCCATTCACCTAGGGACCATTTGTGATCCAAGGACACCACTTACCTTTAGTGGATATTATACATGGTTATGCTCAGGATATGTCAGCCCATTTCTACTGGAAATGCCCTTTGGTTAAACTTTCAGCAAGGAATTTGCATTTGCACTGTTAAATTTTTATATAGCTTTAATGCACATAAAAAACAGCTGCTTGTTTAAGTGAAAATAAATGGATGGTTTGTTTTGCGCTGGTAACGTTGTGGAGTTGTATTTTGTATTTTGTCTCGCATCAATTATATCGCCAGTTATATTGTTATCGCAAATTTTCAAGTATATATCGTGATAAATATTTTTGGTCATATCGCCCTGCTCTACTCAGCACCATCTTCTCTGCCTGATTTCTTCCTTAGCAGCGAGTTGACAGGTTATTTCCCATAGTTTGATGTTACTGATTGGGTCTGGCCAGCGAATGTGGAGAATCCTTCTGAGACAGCTGTTGAGGAATGTCTGGATTTTCCTATTTGAGATTTTATTTGTCTTCCAGGTTTCAGCCCCTTACAGCAGTACTGACTTCACGTTGGAGTTGAACAGTCGGATCTTGGTAGTCAGGGTCATCTCTCTGGATGCCCAAATGTTCTTGAGCTGGATGAAGGCAGCTCTTGCTTTGCCAATCCTTGTCTTGACATCTGCATCGGTTCCACCTAGTTAAGTAAAAGAGTGTATTTCCTCAGGGGACTTCTACTAAGGATGACTGGGTTGTTACTATTGGAGTTGATCCTAAGGATTTTGGTCTTCTCCTTGTTGATGATGAGTCCAACCTGTGCTGATGCGGCTGCCAATATGCTGGTCTTTTCTTGGAGCTCCTCAAAGTGTTCAGACCATCTTTTCATCTATTGCACTAGTTCTGTGATGGCCTTTCCCTCTTTGTCCTTGATGGGTCGTTCTGGCTTGCTGTACTTCCCAGACAATTTCTTGATTATTGCGTAAAGGTGTTTCATGTTACCATTGTATGCTGCCTGTTCTGCTTCAGCTCCCAGTCCATCTATGTAGACATTCTTGTCTTTCCTAATGCTCTTCGTCACTGCTCTTTGGGCTTCTGCCTATTCCGCTTGGGCCTTGGCTTTATCTGCCCTAGTCCTGCTGTTGTTTACTGCCACCTTCTTGTGTTTTCTCTCTTATATCTTGCCCAAGGTCTCAGCTGTGATCCATTCTTTATGATGCTGTTTCTTTATTCCAACCACTTCTTCACTGATTGTTCTCAGTGTCTTCTTTATGGTCTGCCAATTGGCCTGTATGCTGCTTTTCTCCTCTCCCTGGTGCAGCTAATTAAGCACCTTGATCTTGCTCTTGAACTGAACTCCTCCCTTTATCTTTAATTGTCTGACATCATACTTTGCTCTACGTTGTGTTGTTTTTGTCCAGTTCTTCTTTAACTTCAGCTGCATGTTGGCTACTACAAGATGGTGGTCAGATGCCACATCTGCTCCTCTTCTCACCCTAACATCCTGGAGAGATCTTCTAAACTTCTTGCTAATGCTGATGTGGTCAGTCTGGTTCTCTGTCACACTGTCCGGTGATACCCAGGTTCTTTTGCGGATCCACTTGTGCGGGAAAATGCTACCTCCGATGACCAGGTTGTTGAATGCACACAAATCAACGAATCTCTGCCCATTATCATTCATCACTCCCAGCCCATGTATTCCTATGATTTGATCATATCCTGTGTTGTCAAACCCAATCTTAGGTTCACATTAAAATCTCCCATAAGGATAATGATGTCTCTGATTCGGAACGCTAGATTGCTAACAAACAGACAGACAGAAAACCAAACAAATGGAACTGATTACATAAATCTTTGGGGGGGAACAGCCTCACCTGGTCTGTCACAGTCTACAGGTGCTGCACCAGGTGGAGTCCTGGTTCCTGCTCTCTCCTCTCCTCTACTGTCCACACACCAACAATAGCCAGTGGAGCCATGGCACTGAAATAAAGATGAGAAATACGTTCCATTTTGGGGCATTTTGACCTTCATTTGATTAGCAATTAAGTGTTTTCAGACAGGAAAGACACACAGCAAAAGCATCTGGGACAGAATCAAACACAGGACGCTGCATTGAGCCCTGTAGTTTAGATTTGCCTGCTCAACCAGGAGAGCTAAACTGCCACCAACAAATGATTTGTTAGGAAGAACAAAAAGAAGTTATAGACAAAGGTCAAAGAGAAACTATAGTTATTCACTAAATAAATAAAAAGTATAAATATATAAAAACGTAATATATAAAAAGTTACAGTTTCACCTGCTGAGGTAGATACTGTCCTTCTGCATCACACTGTGGTACATAGACTCCAGTTATAGGATTTCCGTCTAGACTGGTGGCCTTCACGCTGTCTCTGTGGTGCTCACAGTGAGTTTTGAGACGCTCATCTGAAAGAGAATATTTAAACATTGATCTAAATCTCTCTGTGTCAACAGCAAATAAACCTGTGTAAAACAATCTGAATCAAGTACGGGCCACTAGAATACCAACAGCATCCAAAGAGCACCATTGGTCCTCATGGGCAAAGGCTATACAAAAACAGTGATATTTTGTTTTTATTATACAAAACTTTATCATCATTATACAAGAATGTGTAACAAAATCATTAATAATTACATTTCATTACAACATGCTGACGTCAGTCTGGTTTTTAAGGTTAGCTTTGACCTTGAGTGTTAACAATGAAAGTCAAAGTCAATTGGTTAGCCAACCTCGGTACTCATGTCCCCCAAGACCCTGTATATTGTTATGAAGTTTGAATGTAATCTGTATAAACTGGTGAGTAACATAAAATGTTTACTACTTTTCACATTTGGTGTGACCTGAACTGATTGTCACTAAAATGGAATTAGCTCAAGCTGTTATTGTGGTCTGCCATCACAAATCATACACAAAGGCCAATCCAAAACTATATATTCGCAACAGTGGACGCTAGTTTGCTAACAAACAAACAGAGAGACAACCAAACCAATGGAACTGATTACATACATCCTGTCTTTGGAAGGAAACAGTCTCACCTGGTCTGTCACAGTCTACAGGTGCTGCACCAGGTGGAGTCCTGGTTCCTGCTCTCTCCTCTCCTCTACTGTCCACACACCAACAATAGC